CCTTCCGATCAAGTGCACATTTTTCAAAAACTGAGTTGTACAGAAAATTTGAAAAAAAATCAGAATTCTCACGAATATATCAGTATACTTTCTTTAGGATTGGCAACATGACAAACTTAAATATGACCTGGATTTGAACCAACCACATTGCATAAAGCTCCTCACTCCAAAAAGAAACCTTAACACAAAATTGAGCATCAACATTTCGTATTCGTGCATCCATATATTCTATCTCCTCTCTAAAGATATTATTCTCAGAATATTCAATTTCAAAACCTACAGCTGGAAGGCTTTCATACCTAAGATAAACTCCTGCATCCATAAATGGAGCTTCGGCAGACTGAAAGCCACTAACAATGAAGAGAGTAATCTTTTCAGCTGAAGTCAATTCAAGGTATTAACCGATACCTGAAGTGTGCCTCTTAGTTCCATATATCGATAAACAGTTACCAGTCTGCAAATATGTGCTAAGAGAAATGGACCGCAAGTAAAGTGGATATCACAGTGCTCAAGTTTCATCAATTTTCAACTGCCACTGGTAGAAAGAGTGATTTCTCGTCCCAATAGCCACTTATTCTCAAACAATTAAAACCAAAATGTTCCCTGGGACGACTTCGATTTGCCCTTTATCTTTTTGTTTGTGTATCCTTCTTTTTATAGGAAAGTTCCTTCTTTTTTAAACAACCGAGTAATCCCCGAGGGCAATTGAGGCGCGGTTCAAAAACTCGGTAGTAATAGGTCTGCCCCTCTGCCCTTCTCTCCACTTAAATTCCAGGATTTTTGTTTGTGACAGGTCCGCACCTCTGACGTATGCCTAACTCACACATCACGTGTTGTGCTCTTATCACTAGACCAAAGCCCTTGGGCTGCTGCCACTGGATCCTTTCACAGGTCATCTTCAAGTTTTCCTGTCAAAATAACTAGTACTTGCCTTTTACGTCCAATATGACTATGAATGGCAGTAATTCCATGAAGAAACTAATTGATTTGCAATAACCAAGATAAACATCCTCGGTTAACAAATTAGAAATAAAACAAATAGAGCTCTAGAAACCAGGACAGCAGTTCCTTTGGCATCTGTTGATGCTATCCCAGGAAACACCTTTCAGCTTTAAATCGTTGGAATAGTAAGACATGACAATGATTTTAATTACTTATCCCCCCCACCCCCCCANTAGGGTGGGAATGCTGAGGTATAAAACTCATGTTTTACTGGTATTAAATTTTGGTATTAAGATTGCTGGCAGCAAGGAGATACCTTCGCTGTTGTGAGAAAATAAGAAACAGAATAGATATTGATGTCTTTACATGATGAATACAATGCATAACTATTTAAAGGTGATAAATATTTTGTCCAATGTGAATAAATCTAAGACTTTAACTCTTCTAACTCCCTACTCTGACACGTCCATCAAAATGTGATTTTGTTTATTTCGAAAACAAAGTAAATATTGCCGGAAAACATGCTAGAAAGTCACCGGAAAAAAAGTTCCTGATGCCAGAACCTTGTCAAAAGAATTGCTCCTAGACAACGGCTGGGAATAAAGACAGCACCGTCTGAACGATTATCAGAAAGAGGTTTACCGGCACCAAGAGATATGACGCCATTAGAGTAGTTGCAGAAAAGAAGCATGGTAAACAGGTCGTCATGAAGAAGTGTTTCAGAAGCAGTCGCCTCAAAAAGGCACAGTGCTGCTAGAGCGATGACAAAAGAGGTGTGGTGCAACCATAAGATTGCAGCAAAGAGGTATGGAAAGTGGAGCTGGTACAGAAACAATGCACAGTCTCGCCAAAGCAGTCATCACAAAGAAGGAAGAAAAAAATTGACTGAACAGGCAACATGAGGCCGATAGACGGAAGTTACTTGACTCTCTACCAAAATCATAGAACTCTAATATGATATGAGAAACTGATAAGAGAAGAAATATACTGATGACTTGATAATATGATGAATGCACGAGACGCATATTATAGGTGTTAGACACGAGACATACATTGTCCAATGCGGGAAAGTATCACAATACATTCGATGTTTATCCAAATATGAGAATATTAAACTCAAGAGCTCAATTCTTCCAACACTTCACTGTGACTCTAAAATTCAACATTCTAATGCATGTATAAATTGTTCAAATACAAAAAGGACTATGCAATGTAACATACCTATACAAACTGAGAAGCTATCTAACAATTTACAAGAAACCATACGATATTCCAGAAAAACGTCTAGCGATCCTTGAGTACAAAATTCAAAACCATGTTTTCCCATGAAATCAACTATTAAAAGTTTGATTGTTGTTTCCACCCCCAGAGCACCAAACTGGACAAGAATGAATGATTTGGTAGGTCGATAAATGTTATGTTAAGATTGTGTATGACTTTGTATGATTTAGTAGATAGGAATTAAATGGGTTAAGTGCAACTGTAATTGTATTATAACACTATAAATTCTGATGATGCTCAAAGAACAAAACATAACCTCCAATTTATCTTCTTTCTCTTTTATGTCTTTACACTCTTTTATTTCTTTACACGGTATCAGAGCCCCTGTGACTGTTCCGGCAGCTTTTCCAACAAATATTCGGGGTCTTTTTTCCGGCAGCCACTATTCCAGTAACCGTTTAAGGATGCGCACATCTTTCACCTCTTTCTTTTCTACCACAATACTTTGAATCCTTGGCTTAGATATTTTTTAAGCAAACTAATGAGAGAGAGGTGATTCCTCAATCACAGGTGACATCAAACCTCTTTTTCCATCTATCTCAAGTTCGCCAACTATTACCAATGTGAAACTGCAAGGTAGTGGTAATTATATGTCTTGGTCAGCCTCGGTCGAGTTATAGTTTATGGGCCAAGGCTACAATGATCACTTAGTTAAGAATGCAAGTGATATCGTTGCCACAGAGAGGGCTCATTGGAAAAAAATGGATGCACAGCTGTGCAGCATAACTTGTGGAATCCTTTTGACCCTAAATTGCTTAACTTATTTCAATCTTATAATACTTGTTGCAAGATTTGGGCCATGCTAAAACTATACACATAAAAGATTTGCAACATATATATAAAGAAGTTTCAGATATTGTTCACCTCCAGCAGAACCATCAAGATATTGTAAGTTATTTAGGGCAAGAAATCCTAAAAGATGAGTTTGATGCTTCACGCCATTATCCGGTAACACATCACTGCGCAAGAACAACAAGAAGGATAAAAATGGTCTTGGCATTAATAGGGCTTCGATCTGATCTTGACTTTGTAAGGGATCAGATTCTAATAAGTTTGACCATTCATTCTCTGGAGGAAGCATTTGTCCTCTTATTGTGTGTTTCTTCAAAAACAATTAAACTAATGAAGTTGAAACATCTGCATTAGTGGTACAAATGGAAATGCACAGGGATAAAAAAATTCTTAAAAAGGGAGAGAGAAAGGACCTAGACCTCATTGAACCCACTCTAACAATAAAGAAAAGGAAAAGAAAAAAAATAGAAAGAAAAGAAAAATACATAAGTGGATAAAAAGATAATAAAACACTTTAAAATATCAAAGAGCAGGAATTTGGAAGACTTTTAACCCTTGCATGCATTTTTTGGGGCTGGTAACTTGTTTTTCCAATGAAAAATGATAGATGAGGTGTGTAAAAGGAGGCATGCAGAGAAAATGTGTAACAGGGATTTTTCGCGTAACAGTGTTATTAAAAGCGCTCGCTTCTCGCTTTAAGCGATGAAGCGACGCGAGGCGCAGGGTTAGCGCTTTTCTGTTAAAAAGGCGACTCACATTCAAAAAGCGTGCGCTTTTCTCGCTTAAGCGAGAAGCGAGCCGGTAGAAAAAGCGAGAAAAAAGCGTGCTTAAGCGAGCAGAAGGCATCAGCTAGGGCTTTTTTAAAAAAATTTGGCAAATAAACCATCTGTTACCAAAACATATGCTCTTCAAGGACTTCTTCTCCAGCAACGACCACTGCTGCTCCAACGACTTCTTCTCCAGATCTCGGTAAGCTTCTTCTTCTTCTGTTCTTCTTCTTATTCTGTTCTTCTTCTTATTATGTTCTTCTTCTTCTTCTGTTATTTTTCTTCTGTTCTTCTTTCAATTTTTTTCACTTTTTAAGCGCTCATTTCTTGCCCTAAACGACTTCTTCTTCTGTTATTAAAAGTGCTCTGTTTTATGCTGCTTTATGCTCTGTTTTCTGCAATTTATCAGTGAACTAATTGTTTTTTTTGTTGTTGATTGTAGTAAATTTAATTTGATTATTCAATGGCATCAAGCCAAAAAAGAGATCCAGCTTAGGCGTATGGAGTTGCAGTTGGCAATAATAACTCAAAAGTGCAATGTATCTTTTGTCAAAAAATTTATAACGGTGGAATACATCGTCACAAGAGACATCTAATCGGTGGTTTTAGAGATGTCAAAGAATGTCCAAGTGTTCCGGATACTATTAAGAAAGAAATGAGAGAGTATGTTGAGAAAAAAAAATGAGTTAAAAATCCAATGAGCCATGGAGCATCTATGATTAATCTTCTTGATGAAGATAGTCAAATGGATGAGGATGACGTTGAAGTCAATAATATAATGAGGCCATCTCCCTCTAAATCTCAAAGAAAGAATTCAACAAGTGGAAGTGGATCATCCACTGTCGGTAGCAATGTGAAAGGTCCTCTTAATCTTTTCTTCTCACAAAAACAAAATGAAAAGAGAAAGGGTGAAGCTATTGACTTAGATTCTTGTAGGAAGAGTTTAAGGGAGCATGTTGTAGATGCTTTTGCAAGGTGGATGTATGATGCGGGGCTCCCTTTTAATTCTGTGAATCACACCGATAGTTTTGGTGAATTCATTGAGGCCGTAGGCCAATATGGCCCAGGAATGAAGCCCCCTACCTATCACGAAGTAAGAGTTCCTTGTCTAAAAAAGGAGGTGGAGAAGACAACAAGATTGTCGAGGAGCATAAGGCGCAATGGAAAATTTATGGTTGTTCCATTATGATGGACAAATGGACTGCAAAAAATGGAAAAATGGTCATTAATGTTTTGGTGAATTCTCTGAGAGGTAGTATGTTTCTTGAATCTTATGATGCTAGTGACTCCTCAACCAATTCCAATAAAATGTTCAACTTGTTTGAGAAGACAATATTTAAAGTTGGACCGGAAAATGTGGTTCAAGTTGTTACTGATAACGCAAGTGAGAATAAAAAAGCGGGTGACATGTTGAAAGGAGTTTTCCCAAATATTTATTGGACTCCTTGTGCTGCACATTGTATCAACTTGGTGTTTGGTGACATTTTCAAGTTAGCCCCATATTCTATCGGTGAACAAGTGGTTCTTATTTTCTATTTTAAGTTTTTAACCTTCATGTTAATTGCTTATACTTATTAACTATGAAATTTGACTTCCTACAGTTTTTGCTAAGGCAATCAAGATACATTCTTACATTAGTCAAAGGCCGTTGTTGTTGAACATGATGAGAAGATACACAAAACAAAGAAATTTGGTGAAATCGGCTAAGACAAGATTCGCAACAGCTATCTTGACCTTGCATAGCTTTTACCTACAAAAGCAAAATTTGCGAACCTTGTTCTTGTCAACCGAATGGAGTGAGAGTATCTATGCAAAGGAAGCTCTTGGGAAAGAAGTTGCGAGATTTATTATTGGTCCATATTTTTGGAATGACACTGTTCAAGCACTTAAAGTTGGTAATCCTTTGGTTATTGTACTTTGTTTGGTGGATGGGGAAAAAAAACACCAATGGGATACATTTATGAAGCCATGGATAGAGCTAAAGAAGCTATTGAGAAGGCATTTGATCATGATAGGAGGAAATATGAGAGAGTGTTTGAAATCATTGATAAAAGGTGGGATGATCAGCTTCATCAACCTTTACATGCAGCAGGGCATATTTTGAAACCCGGATTGTTTTACACAAACAATGAGAACAAAACTTTAGATTTAAACATTTGGAAGGGGTATCATGCATGTGTTGCGAAGTTGGTGCCAGATGAAGCGATGCAAGATAGGGCAAGAGCTTGGTGTGTATATGCAAGCCGATGGAATTCTTGGATTAGCTTCGGCCATTAGAGGCAGAACCAAATTGGCACCAAGTGAGCAACTTTTTTCAATTATTTTACTCTTTAGAGCTTTAACTTTCAAGTTATTAACTTCTAAAATAATACTTCTACAGTTGAATAGTGGATGCAATTTGGTTATGAAGTTCCAAACTTGCAACAATTTGCTATTAGAGTTCAAAGCTTAACTTGTAGCTCATCCGGATGCGAGAGAAATTGGAGTATTTATGAACATGTGAGAAGCTATATTACATTATTACTAAATTAAAGTTTATCTCAATTGTCCTAAGTACTCCTCTTAATTACTTTCTACATCTTATTATGCAGATTCATACTAAGAAGAGGAACAGGCTTGAGCTAAAGAAACTCAATGATCTCGTGTTCGTAAAATATAATAGAACATTGGCTCATCGTTACAAAGCTCGCAATATCATTGATCCAATTTTATTGGATAACATTGATGAAGCAAATGAATGGTTAACCGGAGGCCCCGAAAATCATGAAGAAGAAGAAGTGTTTGAAGGAGAAGGTCTCACTTTTGGTCATGTTGCTATGGCAAGTGGAGTTGAAGAGAATGTTTATGGTTTTAGGGGAAGTACTTTAAGGACCAAAGAAAGAGTATCTCCAAGTACAAGTACATGTACAAGTAGAACCCTAATTAATGAAGCCTCTGATGAAGAAGATGACCAATATAATAACTCGAACATGATGACACTTCAAGAGTTTGGAGATCTTGTTGAAGAATAGGATGTTGCTCCTTTTGTGATTTTGTTTTGCATTTGCTTAATATGTTATGACTTTTGAGGATTATTCACTATCTAGTTTTAGTATCTATTATTTGCTTCTTGATTCAAGAATTGAAACATTTGCTTAATATGTTATTTTTAATGAGTTCTTAGCCATTTATCTATGCCTATTTTATTTTTTTTATTTATGTGTTAAATTGCGCTTCACAGCAAAAAAGCTCGCGCTTCGCTTCTCGCTTCTGTGAAGTGAGGCCTCGTCGCTAATCCTTTGGAATGACACTGTTCAAGCACTTAAAGTTGGTAATCCTTTGGTTATTGTACTTTGTTTGGTGGATGGGGAAAAAAAAACACCAATGGGATACATTTATGAAGCCATGGATAGAGCTAAAGAAGCTATTGAGAAGGCATTTGATCATGATAGGAGGAAATATGAGAGAGTGTTTGAAATCATTGATAAAAGGTGGGATGATTAGCTTCATCAACCTTTACATGCAGCAGGGCATATTTTGAAACCCAGATTGTTTTACACAAACAATGAGAACAAAACTTTAGATTTAAACATTTGGAAGGGGTATCATGCATGTGTTGCGAAGTTGGTGCCAGATGAAGCGATGCAAGATAGGGCAAGAGCTTGGTGTGTATATGCAAGCCGATGGAATTCTTGGATTAGCTTCATACCTGTTCAACATTTACTGTTGCATAAGCACAAGAAACGTTTTCTCATTTACCTTACAGAAAAAGAATGACAACTCAAACCTGATTCTTTCCCTTAGACAAATCTGAGCAAGGAAAGGATTCTAATGGAAGGAAAAAGAATTCAGTTAAGCAAATTGCTAAGAATTTTCTATCGGGTGTCTTCAAGGAAACAATTTTTAAGATTTTCAGTATCATCTAAGACTTGTCATATTAGTCCAAAACTAACTGAAGGGCATAGGCAAAAATGCAGTAGCCCTCAGTACTGTTAGACTGAATACACAACAGTGATTTTAGGCTTAAAGAATGTACTTAAGAGAACCTTGTGTCTTATACCTATAATCATCATAGTATACATCTCATTTTTACTTGTCTATCTTATATTGCATTTCATAAACTTAATAAAGTCAAAAGTGAGAAAACAAAGAACTGAGACATTAACTCATAACACAAGTACTTACACCAGTAAGTAAACCTGAGAATTTCTAAGCGATTGTTACAAAGACAACATTATCCTTTCCACATACATCAGTTATACACGCAGCATAAACACAAAGATATACAAGCATAAAAGTACATCGCAGATGCATTGTTTTCCTTTTCGATAGGTGATTTTTATATGTTTTATCCAAATATTACCTAGAAAACTACAATCACTATTATAGGCTCTAGCCTTTTACTCTCTCTTGTTGCATGTGTGTATGTGTGTCTGCGCGTTTACAAATTTGGGAAGAAAAGCTTCAGTCTTACCACAAATTCTAACTTGAACTTTTATCTTTGGCCTCATTAGCGATAGCATCAGTTACCAGAGCCATTGGTCTTTGATCAATAACCTCATCAATTATTCCAAACTCCTTGGCTTCTTCAGCGGTCATGAAATAATCCCTATCCATATTCTTCTGAATTATTTCCACTGGTTGTCCCGTATGCTTGGAGTATAGTTGGTTCAGTGCATCCCATACCCGAACAATCTGTTTTGTGTGAATTGTCATATCTTTAGCTTGCCCACTATATCCACCAGAAGGCTGATGAATCATGATTGTAGCATTAGGAAGAGATCGTCTCTCACCCTTGGCACCAGCAGCTAAGAGAAGGGATGCCATTGAAGCTGCTTGACCTAGACATATAGTATTAATTGGAGATCGAATGTACTGCATTGTATCGTAGATAGCAAGACCTATACAAAAGAACAGGAGAAAGTTACGACAGGAGCACAATGACATGGTTCTGAGTTTACATTCAAACACAATCAGCATACTCCAAGAATGAGCTACCAAATCTCATCATGATAAGTAAATATAAAGGTTAACCGAAAGGTGAAAAACATAATCTTAACTTCTATCATAAATTGAACTGAATGCACCACACACAGCAAAATGCAGACTGCCAAGCCTACTTATTATCATGTGAAGAAAATAGAGACAAACAAAACCACCAAAATAAAAGTATTTGTCAAGCTTTATTCATAGAAACAGAGAGCTAGTTATTAATCATTTCGCCCTTGATAATCACAATACCAAAATCCAAATAGGATAAAATGTACAACATTTAGGTGCATATATTGACACTATTACCTTTTCTTTTCCTCATCATATTGAAAATTGAACTCTATTTAAAGTTAGTCATTGGCCAGAGTATGTCACTCCAAAATGACATCCGACAAAAGGGGTTATGTTAGCAAGTAGTTTTCAAATATGCAAAATATAATCAACTAAAACAAAAGAAAATCTTGTTTTTAGATGAGAAATGGAAAAAAAAAAAAAAAAAAAAAAANNCGCACACACAGAAACACTAACCGGCAGTGACGGCGCCACCGGGAGAATTGAGGTACATGTGAATAGGCTTGGATGGATTCTCGGACTCTAGGAAAAGAAGCTGAGCAACGACAACATGGGAAGTATCATCGTTAATGTGTCCATTGATGCAAATGATGCGCTCTTTGAGCAGCCTTGAGAATATGTCATAAGCCCTCTCTCCACGGGAAGAGTGCTCTATCACCATCGGTATTAGCCCGTACCATCTCCTACTATTTGGATTCAAAGGCCTTCTGCTAATTCCATTCCAAAGTTTGTGAGCAATTAGGCTGCGCATCGTTCTTTCGCTGGGATTTGGGATTGAAACCTCAGTGGATTTTGGATTGGGATACGAAGAGTGAAGTGTGGGGTTTTACGTAATTTAGAGGGTTATAAGCTGGTTGGATGTTAATTGTGAGGGTGTTTGGTTAACCTTTAACCTGGTTAAACTAGCTTATAAGTAATTTTTGGTTTGTTGTTAAATTAAAAGTGCTTATAAGTTAAGTGCGCCAAAAGTCATAAGTTGGTGTCCCTTAAGTTATCAAATTTCAGCTTATAAACACTTTAGGTTTGACCAAAATATTTACTATTCTATCCCTAAAATACTTCTTTTTAAAACAAAACTCTTCGTAGCCCAATTCTTCAATTGCTTATTATTAATTTCAGTACTTTTATCCAAACACATAACTGCTTATTTTTTAAATCAGTTTCAGCACTTAAAAGTGCTTTTCAGCACCTATTGCTTATCAACTACTCTAACTCAGCTAAGACAAACGGGCTATGTGTTCTTACTTTAAATACAAAGTTATTAACTTTTATAAATAGTACCACTTTTAATTTCCTCTTCTTTTTTTAATTATTAAATAATTTTTATTTTATCTTTTATCCTACCTTTTTATATAATAATTTTATCTCGTACCTTATTTTTTCTTTATAATATTGCAGGTTTATTCTTTATATTATTGGTGCATGACATCATAAAACGTTAGCAAACAATACAATAACAAACAATACAATCTATTTAAACATTGTATATATCAAAACGATATAATATAATACGATATATTATGAAACAATACGTAACAACCATCCAAACAAGTTGTAACAGCTTGTTTGGTAAACACCCAAAGTACTTATAAGTCAATTACTTATAAGCTAAAACAAACCATAAGTCATAAGTTGATCATCCCAAACTTACGATTTTTCAGCTTATAAGCACTTTTAGTTTTACCAAGAATTTTACTAGTTTATACTTAATAATATTTTTAATTCACAAAATACATTTCCCAAAACAAATTTCCTAACTTTTCTTCATTCCATATTCTTTATTCATCCTTTTCTTTACAAAGAATTTTTTTAATTTATAATATTTGTAAGGTTTTAAAGGGTATTTTGGTTATTTTAATAAAAGAACAGCTTATCAGTACTTTTTTTACCAAATATATCAACTGCGTATTATTATTTGTTTCAACACTTCTATCCAAACACGTAAATGCTTATTTAAAAAAAATCAGTTTCAACACTTATAAATATTTTTCAACACTTCAGGCTTATCAACTATTTACAATCAGCTAATCGAAACGGGCTTTAACAATTTTTGGTTAGGCGTTTAAATAAGTCACAATATTTTGCTCTTGAACTTAGTAATTTGATAGCCTCATGCTTTGGATGCTCATGTGGTCGTGAGAGGGGAAAAAATTAAAAATTAGTTTCCAAGTTAAGTATTTTTCAACTATTAATCCTGTCAAGACCCGAAATCCAACTAGTCGTGATGGCACCTAACCCGACCTGCTAGGTAAGCCAAATGAAATTCAATAAAACACAAATGAGTCAATGATTAAAATAACTGAACTTCTATACAAACTCTCACGGATTGGTAGTACAAGTCATGAGCTACTAAGACTTAGATTTGCAAATATGGTATGAAAATAAATACAACATCTATTTAGAATATATATAAATAGAATTTAAAATCTAATACTATCAACGACATGTGGTAGCTATACCCAGAAAGCAGGTACATCTTCAATGCCGTCTTCCGCCATACACATCACTATCAGCTACAAGATGTGCACGTAAGGTGCAGAAGTGTGGTGGGAGTACAACCGACCCCATATACTCAATAAGTAACAAATCTCACCTCAGGTTGAAAGCAGTGACGAGCTCGGAAGAAGGTCAATGCCTGACATCAATAGCCAATAACAACTCGTAATAATATAATGAGGACAACAAGGTAAATAACTCAAGAGATATTATGTTCAGCTCGTTCATAGTTAAGGAAAAGTAGACATGCTTTTCAAGTATAACAATCAAAATCCAAATCTTACCACTGAAAATGAACTAAACATGAGTTTATCAAAAGAACTATGTTTCTCTAATTTTCCAACATCAAATAAGAATTTTCATTTACTAGTAGCATGATGAAAAATTACGTCTCTATGCCTACATGTCAATATACATGCCAAGTAAATTATATCCCAGTGAAATCATCAGGTACACTCACTCTTAGCATACT